TTCTAATTCTATATAGTAACCCCTTAGAAATTTTTATAAATGTGCCCTAAAATGTTGCAAAAATCGGTGGATATGGAATCACGAAATTGCAATTTTTGAAATTTGAGCACGTGGCGCAGCAATAGGAGGTCTTTAGACCGAGCCAACCATACAACAAAAAAAATAGTTAATTTTGTTTGTAAAGATTTACGTCCATTTGAAACAATTGTGGGTTTAAGGTTTCAAGAATTGGCACAAGAATTTATTAAGATTGGATCAATTTATGGAAATGTATCCATTGAAGAATTACTTCCACATCCAACCACTATTTCCAGAAACACATTAAAGGAGGCAGAGTTAGTTAAATCAGCTTTGGCAGAAAGTTTATTGGAATTTTTTCGAATTTCTGGTGGAGCTTTTACCACAGATTGTTGGACAGATAATTATAGGAAGATTAGTTATATTTCTTTGACAGTGCACTTCATTGATAATTGGGATTTAAAAGAATATGTACTTGCTGTATCTAAATTTCCAGAATTAGCCATACATCAGATATTATACAAAGAACTATTTTTTCATTATTAAGAGGGTATAATCTTCAACCTGAAAGTAATATAAAAAGATATGCTTTTGTAACAGATACTGGTGCAAACTTTGTGGCAGCTTTTCGAAATTATGGGCATTTATCATGTATAGCTCACAGGTATGTATTAATAAAAAACGGGTTGAGTTCGGGTTTGGATTGAAATTTTTTGTATACAAGTCGGGTTCGGGTTGAGATTTTTATAATTTTTTTGTGTACAAGTCGGGTTCGGGTTGCCAATTATAAATTTGTTCGGGTTCGAGTTGGGTATTTATTCAATTATGATGACCCGTGCAGGCCTCTAATCTAAATCCGGGTTACATTATTTAACCAAACATCTGGATTTGCATCTATCATTGCTTATTTAGTAAGGCTCTTATTTCTTGGATCTTGTATGATTTGCTATCTTCATTTAAATATTTCAAAACTTTACTAATCAAAGTAGGTATAGTTCTTTTTTTTTAGTTCTTTTCTTAACTTGCAATGTGAGTTGCTAATTGAGATAGTGGGTTTGAATGAAGATTTGATTTGTTGATCATCTTACACTTAATATTTACATGTGGATTGTTGTCAGCATATGGGGTGATGATTTATAGGTGCAGGATAATATCTGTGTCCAACCTCAACCCTGATCATAGGTTTCAGATTTAATGAAAATTTTCCTTTCACAAATAAGCAAGAGTCATGCAATTGCATGCCTTGAATCTGTGAAATTTTTTCTACAGACAAGGCCAATTGAACAGATCAGAAGGTTTTGGACAAGCAAGAGCTTTAGCACTCTTTTTGACAGCATTACAATTCTGACAAACTCCAGGGCATTGCTCCCCCCTAAATTTAATTGCATCACTGTATAATTGGGGTGAGTAGGCAAATTAACCTTTGCATACCAGGGAAGATGAGAATAATCATGATGTTTTAAATATTTGAGACTTGAAGTAATAATATTCAACATCTGTAAATAAATTTCTAATAATCAAACTGATAATTTTCTAATGTTCCCAGAGCAGTTTTCCATATGCGAGTGTAAGGTTGTGGCAAAACCTCCTTAGTAATTGCCGAAACCATGGCAAAATATATTAAATCTTATCAAAAATCCTGTTGAAACTATGCTGAAATGGCAAAACTTTGCCAAAACTCTAATAAACAATTAATGTGTAATCTGCCGAAACCCTGCTGATTGATTTCTGGAGGAGTTTCGGCAAACAACCTTATGTTTCCTTAATATTAAAACATCGGATGTGTTCAGTGAGTGTTATAAATTAAACAGAAAAATTCATGTAACAATTTTTTCTGTGATAGAAAAATTATGTATTTTTTTATGAATAATAATAAATACCATAATGAATTTTTGTTTCATTCCTTTATAATTTTACAATACAAGCAAGTACTAACTGATAAAAATTGTTTGTTCATAACAATATGTAAAAAATTTTTATTGTATATATTTTAAATAAAACATAATACATTGATTGGTTAATATGGATGTCTTGAAATAACCTGTTTTTCTATACTAAATATTAATGACACCTTTATTATCATTGTCATCTTTATCATCATTATCATCACCTCATTGCTGAATTCTTCATATTTTTCAACATTATTTTCCACTCTAAATAAAATTTATGAATGACTAGAATGATGGCTGTAAATGTTCAGATAATTTATCATAATGATTTAAGAATGTTAATGAACAACTTGAGTGATGACAAGTGGCGACCACTACCATTCTTGTGATAAACACTTATTTGGTGATATTTTCTTATTTTTTCTTTATTTCTTCTTTCTTTTCTCAGCATTTTTTTTTAAAGATGAATTTTGTTATTTGATCGACAGACAGCATAGTCAAAAATCCTTTTATGGATAGATGGAGGTTACACATTTAATAAACACTTCAAAAAAAGATCAGCAATTTATATGTGAAGAGTATTGTAAAAAGTACCATTTAGAAAAGTGGCACTGCACAGACTATATAACACCACCACAAAATTTGCATGTAAAAATATATACATATATGTGCATGTATCAGTCAATTAAATAAAATAAGATTCTTTATTAAATAGATAAACTCAATAAGTTGGACAAATGGCTGGACATGGTGTCTGACTTATCAAGAGATCTGAATTATCAAAATATGCAAT